CACGGATATATAAACCCTTTTTCCTAGTTCCAACAGACCTCACTACCTCTGAGGATGCTTGCCATAGATGCAGGCGAAACGTCAGGAGAGAATGCCTCTAGAACATGGCCATATAGCCCAAAAAACCCACAAGAACCTAGTGATTCCAGCCATGAAAGCCTTCGATAATACATTTATATAGATTGTTTGCATGTTACAGACATGTGCTTTTACTACCTGGGAAGGAATCCCACTGGAGCATTGCAGCACACCCAGATACCTGGGAGTCACTCTGGATTTACAAGAAGCAAAAAAAAAATGGCTGCTAGAAATAATATCATACAAAATCTGAGTAGCACAACCTGGGGGTCACAACCAGACACAGTGAAGACACCTGCCCTTGCGCTTTACTACTTTGCTACTGGGTATGCATGCCCAGTGTGGAACACATCTCACCACACTAAAACAGTGGATGTGGCTCTTAATGAGGCATGCCACATTATCACAGGATGTCTACATCCTGGAGAAATTATACTGTCTAACCAGTATTGCACCACCTGACATACGTAGGGAAGTAACGGCCTGTAATGAAAGGATCAAGGCAGAGACATCTCCAGCTCATCCCCTGTTCGGGTATCAGCCAGCAAGACAATGCCTTAAATCAAGAATATAATAATAATAATAATAATAATAATAATAATAATAATAATAATAATAATAATACTTTATTTATACCCCGCTCCATCTCCCCAGAGAGACTCGGGGTAGCTTACGTGAGGCCACGCCCATCAACACAATAAACACAGTATTACACAAAAACATAACAAAACCAAAAAATAAAATACATAAAATGCAAAAACCAATATAATAGAAAACACAGCAATATAAAATCGGACATCAAAACAAAAATTTCACTGGGCAGGGCCAATTCAAGAATAAGAAATTAAAAACACTGGGAGATAGGGCAGTGTGAAATTGTCATGAAGGGGGATCCGGGGATGAGGAAGGATTTAATTGCACGAACCACACAGTAAAGTACTCCTGAGGTCATTTGGGTCAGGAAGTGTCCTACATTCAAAGCACATTGGAATAACCAGGTTTTCAGGTTCCTCCTGAAGATTGCCAGCGTGGGGTCTTGCCTAAGATCTACAGAGATACTTGCAGGAACCCCTCAGCAAGCAAGAGTCCAAAAGTGGCAGGCTCAAAACCGGAACCTCAATCAGTGGCTGAGACTGGATGAGAAACTCCCCCCTGGGCACACAGAAGACTGGGTGACTTGGAAGGCGCTGAACACGCTCTGGCATCACGAGATGCAGAGCCAACCTTAAGAAATGGGTCCACAAAGTGGAGTCCACGACATGTGAGCGTACAGAAGAGCAAACCACAGACAATCTATTACAATGCAGCCTGAGCCCTGCCACATGCGCAATGGAGGACCACACTCCAAGTGGCCAGCTACTGGTCAAAGGACATTTAATAGAATGCCAAGTTTGCAAATTTTGTGTGTAATTTTTCCATACAATATAACTGTATTCTCAATTCGCTTCTGACACGATAAATACATAACTAAATGTGTAATAAAATTATTATATAAATGAATATATAATATAACATACCATTTATCTATCTATCTATCTATCTGAGACCCCAGTGGAGCAGTGGGTTAAAGCACTGAGCTACTGGTCTTGTTGACCTAAAGGTCGCAGGTTCGAATCCAGGGAGTGGCATGAGCTCCCGCTGTCAGCCCCAGCTTCTGCCAACCTAGCAATTCAAAACATTCAAATGTGAGTAGATCAATAGGTACAGCTCTGGCGGGAAGGTAACGGTGCTCCATGCAGTCATGCCAGTGGCCACATGACCTTGGAGGTGTCTACGGACAACACCGGCTCTTCAGCTTAGAAATTGAGATGAGCACCGGAGTTGAGCACGACTGGACTGTCAGGGGAAAACCTTTACCTATACATATACATACATATACACATATATACATATACATGCACACACACACACACACACACACACACACACACACACACACACACATATATATATATATATATATATATATATATATATATTTGTTGTTCATTCGTTCAGTTGTCTCCGACTCTTTGTGACCTCATGGACCAGTCCATGCCAGAGCTCCCTGTCGGCCGTCACCACCCCCAGCTCCTTCAAGGTCAGTCCATCCATCTTGCCCTTGGTTGGCCCCTCTTCCTTTTCCCTTCCACTTTCCCCAACATCATTCCCTTCTCTAGGCTTTCCTGTCTCCTCGTGATGTGGGCAAAGGACTTCAACTTTGTCTCTAGTCTCCTTCCCTCCAATGAGCAGCCGGGCTTTATTTCCTGGAGGATGGACTGGTTGGATCTTCTCGCAGTCCAAGGCACTCTCAGAACTTTCCTCCAACACCACAGCTCAAAAGCGCCTCTCTTCCTTCGCTCAGCCTTCCCGAAGGTCCAGCTCTCACATCCGTAGGTGACTACAGGGAAGACCATGGCTTGGACTAGGCAATGGATCTTGGTTGCCAGTCTGATGTCTCTACTCTTGACTATTTTATCGAGACTGGACATTGCTCTCCTCCCAAGAAGGAAGCGTCTTCTGATTTCCTGGCCACAGTCTGCATCTGCAGTCATCTTCCCACCTAGAAATACAAACCCTGTCACGGCCTCCATGTTTTCTCCCTCTATTTCCCAGTTGTCAATCATTCTTGTTGCCATAATCTTGGGTTTTTTGATGTTTAGCTGCAACCCAGCTTTTGCGCTTTCTTCTTTCACCTTGATTAGAAGGCTCCTCAGCTCCTCCTCGCTTTCGGCCATCAGAGTGGTGTCATCTGCATATCTGAGGTTGTTAATGTTTCTTCCAGCAATTTTCACCCCAGCCTTGCATTCCTCAAGCCCCGCACATCCTCGCATGATGTGTTCTGCATACAAGTTAAAAAGGTTGGGTGAGAGGATGCAGCCTTGCCGGACGCCTTTCCCAATCTTGAACCAGTCTTTTGTTCCGTGGTCAGTTCTGACTGTGGCTCCTTGGTCCTTGTACAGATTCCTCAGGAGAGAGGGAAAGGGGCTTGGGATGCCCATCCCACCAAGGACTTGCCACAATTATTATGATCCACACAGTCAAAGGCTTTAGAAGAGTCAGTGAAGCAGAAATAGATGTTTTTCTGAAACTCCCTGCCTTTCTCCATTATCCAGCGGATATTGGCAATCTGGTCTCTGGTTCCTCTGCCTTTTCTAAACCCAGCTTGAACATCTGGCAACTCTTGCTCCATGTCTTGCTGGAGTCTTCCTTGCAGGATCTTGAGCATTACCATATATATATATGGATGGCATGAAACTCTTCTAAGGGGTTGGTTAAACTGAAATACCACGTTGCAACAGGATGCCGGTCTAAAAAGCATATCGCCAACGTAATAACATGAATAGGCGTCAGTGGGGATTTTTTAAAACACTGTTTACATTTAATCCTGTTTTAATGTTTGCATCTTTGTATATATTTTAAATGGCATGCTGATGCTTTTATGTTAAGCTGCTTTGAGTCTCCTTTGGGAAAGATAAAGCAGGGTATAAATATAATAGTAACAACAACAACAACAACAACAACAACGGAAAGTTTGGAAAGCTCTGCTGTCGACCCCCATGTTGGGTCAAAAAGGAGTTAAATATGAAGTATCAAGGTGGATAATAACAACAACAACAATAATAACAACAGCAACAGACAGTCATGCTATCTCCATCCTTTCATGTTCCTTAAGAAGAGCTCTATCGCCCTCTGCTGGCAAGAAAAAGACAATACTTTAGAAGTATGCAACGTCCTGTGCTGTTTGCTTTGTAGTTTTGGAAAAAAATTCTCTGTCTAAATATTTCATATAACCATTAGTATAAAGGACTACTGAGGAATGCCTCAGGGGGCCATTCTCTCCCCTCTGTTGTTTAACATCTCTATGCGACCACTTGCTCAGCTGGTTCGAGGTTTTGGGCTGGAGTGTTACCAGTACGCCGATGACACTCAGCTGGTGCTGAAGATGGAAGGCCGACCGGACTCTGTACCCGATTGTTTCCATCAGTGCCTCGAGGCCGTGACTGGATGGCTGCGTGCCAGCAGGTTGAGGGTGAATCCAGCAAAGACGGAGATCCTATGGCTGGGTCGACCGGGCAGTGGGGACATCCATCTGCCCACCCTGGATGGCGAGGCGCTACGCCCGTCATCATTGGTCAAGAGTCTGGGAGTCCTTTTGGACCCTCTGCTGAGGATGGAGGCCCAGGTCTCCGCCGTGAGCAGAACCGCCTTCTTTCACCTGCGGCAGGCTAGACGGCTGGCCCCCTCCCTGTCCAGGGACAACCTAGGCTACGGTGATCCAGGCCACGGTCATCTCAAGACTGGACTACTGTAATGCCCTCTACATTGGCCTTCCTCTGTCGGTGATCCGGAAGCTCAAGTTGGTACAAAATGCAGCTGCTCGGCTTCTTGCGGGAATTCCGATGAGATGCCACATCACCCCAATCTTACTACAGCTGCATTGGTTACCCATTGAGCACCGGATCACTTTCAAAGGGGATGGGACTCACCTTTAAGGCCTTGCATGGTCTGGGGCCAATGTACCTGAGGGACCGCCTCACCCCCTCCCAACCCCAGAGATCCCTCCGCTCTGAGGACCAAGATCTATTGGAAATTCCCAGTGTCAAGACCTTGCGTCTAACAGCAACCAGACGCAGAGCCTTCACAGCAGTGGCACCATCACTCTGGAATACTCTGCCACCTGAAGTCCGTGCCTTGCGGGACTTACCAGCTTTCCGCAGGGCATGTAAGACATACCTGTTTCGACAGGCTTTTAATGTTTGATACTGCTGTTTTTAAATTGTTTTAAATTGCTTTTAAATTTTGTTAGATTTTAGCCATTCTTGTAAGCCGCTCCGAGCCCCAGGGGAGTAATAAATAAATAAATAATAAATAAATAAATAAAAATATTTTTGATGTCTGCATAGAAACATCCACCGCCAATGTAACACACAAGACGTCTCTTATAATAACAGTATTTAATAATGAACTAAAAAAAGGAGAAAAATACCAAAAAAGGGGGAGTAGTGGTCCAGGAATGCAAGGATTACAAAACTGTATGTACACACATTGGAGGAACAAGAAAAGCAAACGAACAGATAAACAGGAATAGACCCTGTTTTTGGTGTCCTTGGGGTTTGGTAGTTAAGAGACCAAACCCACTGATACGAAGGGAATTCAGCCATCAGTGATGGTGAGGTTAGTCTCATGTTAGTCTCATTTCATTCCTGGCTTCTCGAGAATGGAGCCAAATATTTGGTAGAAAAGGCAGAGAGGTCTCAGATTCCAATGCCAAGTTGGAAGACTTTGGAGATCCACCAAAAGACATCTGTTCTTATCTTCATCCACCGTTGATGCCAATTTTGCAGGAAGTCAGTAGCTGCTGCAAATGATTTACTGTGGAAATATTGCCCAAGTTGCCTTGAAAAGATTTTGGAAAAAAGAAAACCTTCAAGATCCTTGGTAGGCTCTCTGACCTTCAGTGACCATTCCAGAAGCATTTTGCTGAGGGGAAAACTGCCCAAGTTGCATTGAAAAGACAAGGAGAAAGCCTTCAAGATCCTTCTTGATGGTATCTCTGACCTTCAGTGACCATTCTTGGAGCATTTTGCTGTGGAAATACTGCCCAAGTTGCCTTGAAATGATAGTCTTTGGAAGGAGAAAACCTTCAAGATCCTTCTTGATGGCATCTCTGACCTTCAATGAAGCATTTTACTGAGAAAATACTGCCTAAGTTGCATTGAAAAGTCAATCTTTGGAAGAGGAAACCCTTCAAGATCTATCTTGGTGGGATCTCTGACCTTCTGTGACCATTCTTGGAGCATTTTGTTGCAGAAATACTGCCTAAGTTGCCTTGAAAAAGACAATCTTTGGAAGGAGAAAGCCTTCAAGATCCTTCTTGGTGGCATCTCTGACCTTCAATGAAGCATTTTACTGAGGAAATACTGCTCAAGTTGCATTGAAAAGTCAATCTTTGGAAGGGGAAACCCTTCAAGATCTATCTTGGTGGGATCTCTGACCTTCGGTGACCATTCCTGGAGCATTTTGCTGAGGAAATACTGCCCAAGTTGCCTTGAAAAGACAACCTTTGGAAGGAGAAAACCTTCAAGATCCTTCTTGGTGGCATCTCTGACCTTCAATGAAGCATTTTGCTGAGGAAATACTGCCCAAGTTGCCTTGAAAAGACAACCTTTGGAAGGAGAAAACCTTCAAGATCTTTCTTGGTGGCACCTCTGACCTTTGGTATCTATTCCTGGAGCATTTTGCTGAGAAAATACTTCCCAAGTTGCATTGAAAAGTCAATCTTTGGAAGGGGAAACCCTTCAAGATCTATCTTGGTGGGATCTCTGACCTTTGGTGACCATTCCTGGAGCATTTTGCTGTGAAAATTCTGCCCAAGTTGCCTTGAAAGAACAGCCTTTAGAAGAAGAAAACCTTCAAGATCCTCCTTGGTGGGAACTCTGACCTTTGGTGACCATTCCTGGAGCATTGATGCCATCCCAATGAAAGCATTTCGTGCACAAATGCCAACTGTTAGCTCGAGTTAAACCTGTATCCACAATACTTTTTGGAATGAGCATACATTAGAAGGTGGCTTCTCGTTCCCAAGTGCTCACAGTGAAGACATAAGTAGGCTTTGTTAATGTAGCCAACGGACAGAGAGTCACCGGAGGGGCTACTGCACAATCTGGGGCATTTCGCTCCATGCTTTGGCCTTCTGCTTGGCCAAAGAAAGCCACGGCGGCTCTGAAGGGCTACCGCAAGAAGAGAGAGGCAGGCTTGGCAACAGATGGGTTTCTTTTTCCATCGGACGGACCTCCCGAGAAGCTGCTCTGATAGGCTTTGCTGGGGAAACAGAAAGGGAAGGGAGGGATCAGAAAAACAGGGTACATGCACTTGAAATAGCATCTTGATATGTATAGAAGTATAGCAGTGTGTTTTAGCTGCTCTCCTCAATAAATCCCCCCTTTCTCCTTTCTCAGTCCCCAAGTTTCGGACAACTCTTCCAGGAGTAAATTTCCCTCCATAGAGATAGAGTCCTCTCACTTCTTGCTGTCTCAACCCATTCTTAACTAGGAGTCATTTGTAAGTCAGATGTCTGTAACTCAGGGACAGCCTGTAGATACCTTTTGGAGCCGACGTGGTCATCTTTGGCTGTGTTTTCATCTCAAGGACATGGTGTGGGATGCTGTTTTTCAATAAGGGCAGACCAGTCAGATTCAAGTGCTGCAAAGTAAAAAAAAAAGGGGGGGAGGTGTAATTATTTACGGCAGAATGAGAACACCTAAATATGAACTGTTCCTCTGCTTTGCAAAGGCCAGGTAGAAATTGTCTAAAAACAAACCATGGTCTGAGATACAGACAGGTAACCTTTGGGTTGTTGTAGGTTTTCCAGGCTATATGGCCATGTTCTAGAGGCATTTTCTCCTGATGTTTCGCCTGCATCCATGGCAAGCATCCTCAGAGGTAGGAGGTCTGTTGGAACTAGGAAAATGAGTTTATATATCCGTGGAAAGACCAGGGTGGGACAAAGGACTTTTGTCTGCTGGAGCCAGGTATGAATGTTTCAACTGACCACCTTTATTGTTGGATTCTTCTGGGCCACTACATTTCCAGGAAAAAATTCCTCCCCTGAACTATTATTATTATTGGGTTGTTGTAGGTTTCTTGGGCTATATGGCCATGTTCCAGAAGCATTCTCTCCTGACATTTTGCCTACATCTTTGGCAAGCATCCTCAGAGGTTGTGAGGTCTGAGGATGCTTGCCACAGATGCAGGCGAAACATCAAGAGAGAATGCTTCTAGAACATGGCCATATAGCCCAAAAAACCTACAGCAACCCAGTGATTCCAGCTATGAAATACTTCATTATTATTATTATTATTATTATTGGGTTGTCGTAGGTTTTTTCGGGCTAAATGGCCATGGTCTTGAGGCATTCTCTCCTGACGTTTCGCCTGCATCTATGGCAAGCATCCTCAGAGGTAGGAGGTCTGTTGGAACTAGGGAAAGGGTTTATATATCTGTGGAATGACCAGGGTGGGACAAAGGACTCTTGTCTGCTGGAGCTAGGGGGTGAATGTTTCAACTGACCACCTTGATTAGCATTTGATAGCCTGGAACCACTCTCACAACCACCATGTCAGACTACATAGAGAAGCCATTGAAATCCACAAGTATGTGGACAATTTCAACAGAAAGGAGGAAACCATGAAAATGAACAAAATCTGGCTGTCAGTATTAAAAAAAACTCCAAAATTACAACAGCACAACAACAGAGAGGAAACAAACAAGGACATCTAATCACCTCTCAACAAAAGATTGCTCCAGGCACTGCCAGGCCATCAAATCCTAATCAAGGTGGTCAGTTGAAACATTCACACCTAGCTCCAGCAGACAAGAGTCCTTTGTCCCACCCTGGTCATTCCACAGATATATAAACCCTTTTTCCTAGTTCCAACAGACCTCACTACCTCTGAGGATGCTTGCCATAGATGCAGGCGAAACGTCAGGAGAGAATGCCTCTAGACCAGTGTTTCTCCACCTTCCTAATGTCGTGACCCCTTAATCTACTTCCTCATGTTGTGTTGACCCCCAACCATAACATTATTTTCGTTGCTACTTCATAGCTGTAATTTTGCTCCTGTTATGAATCACCATGTAAATATCTGATATACAGGATGTATTTTCATTCACTGGACCAAATTGGGCACAAATACCCAGTACGCCCAAATTTGAATACTGGTAGGCTTGGGGGATTCATTTTGCCTTTTGGGAGTTGTAGTTGATGGGGTTTATAGTTTACCTACAATCAAAGAACATTCTGAACTCCACCACCAATGGAACTGAACCAATCTTGGCACGCAGAACTCCCATGACCAACAGGAAATGCTGGATCTTTGGGGCATTGACCTTGAGTTTAGGAGTTGTAGTTCACCTACATCCAGAGATCACCATGGACTCAAGCAATGCTGGATCTGGACCAAACTTGGCACGAATACTCAATATGCCCACATGTGAACACTGGTGGAGTTTGGGGAAACTAGACCTTGACATTTGGGAGTTGTAGTTGCTGGGATTTATAGTTCACCTACAATCAAAGCATTCTGAACCCCACCAACAATAGAATTGGGCCAAACTTCCCATACAGAAACCCCATGACCAACAGAAAATATTGCATTTTCTGATGGTCTTCAGTGACCCCTCTGGCACCCCCTCGCAACCCCTCCAGGGGTCCCGACCCCCAGGTTGAGAAACACTGCTCTAGACCATGGCCATATAGCCCGAAAAAACCTACAACAACCCAGTGATTCCGGCCATGAAAGCCTTCGACAATAAACATCACATATTTTGTGGCAAATAACACTTTCTTACCAGGAACACAACATTTTCCAAATTTTGTAATCTGGGCGCTTTTAAATGTCACAGCATTTCTACCTTTTCCTGCTGTGAAACACCAACGTGCTTCTCCCCCGCTTGCTCTGCGTTGGCCAAAGGTTTCTGGTCTCTTTTCTGTCCTTCGATGAGAGGGAAGCCTTGGAAGCCGCTCCGTTTGAGTTTTGCCATTGAAATCCAGGCCGGTTCAGGCGACGGGGGTTCCAAAGGTGCGGACGGGCTTTGATCTGCAAGGAAAGGATCAGAGAGAGTCCAACCCAGGTTTTCCTCTTCGTCTTGCTCTCAGAGATTTCCTATGCATGCCCTGCTCTAATCTTATAAACTTCTCTAATCCAGATGAGGATATACAGAACGAGAAAGCCTATGGAACTATACATCAACCTACTGCCCATCCCATAACCACCTGAATACTGATAATATACAGTACTTCATCCCATAAAAACTATAATCAGAATGTTAGAATCACACTACGAAAAGAAATGACATGTTATCTACATAAGATTGCAATGCAACTTGGTTCTACCATCACAAGGGAGTTAATTAATTATGAACAAATTAGTTATTTGTAACTACCTGAGGCCCTCGGTATCCACTGAGGGGGAAAAGGAAGGGGCCTGAGGTTGTTAGGAATTGTGGGAGTTGAAGTCCACCTGGAGGGCCCAAGTTTGCCCATGCCTGCTCTATACATATAACATTATTTTTGTTCCTGGGTCACAAGTGCCATTTGCTAATTGGTTATATCATTAAAAATATAGAAAAAATGTATTAAACTGCAAAAACTTTGTTTCTGCGTGTGGGACACTTTGCAGCACATTTTGCTCTAGTTTTTCAATGAATATCTCATCAACGTAAGTTTGTGATAGCCACAAAAACAAATTTAATGGAATAGAGCAACTACTTTCAAAGTAAGGACTGCACAATTAAATAGGAATAAGGGGTCACAGTTACAGGTTGAACTGCTAGCTGCAGGAAAAAGAATGCTGACTAGAAGGTTAGTGGTTCAAAGCCATGGGTCGGGATCAGCTCCTGCTATCAGCCCTAGCTCCTGCCAACCTAGCAGTTCAAAAACATGTAATCCGAGTAGATCAATAGGTATCGCCTCAGTGGAAAGGTAAAAGGTACTCTGCAGCTACGCCAGCAAAACACAATCAGGAGAGTCTATGGATGACAGGCTCCTTAGCATGGAAAAATGGAACAAGAGCACCTCCTCATGGCCAGAGTTGAGCATTGCCTCCAGACGCCAGAGATGGAAAGGGAAACCTTTGCCTTTGTTTGTGTATTGTATTTATTTATTCACGATATTTCTATCCTGCCTTTCTCAAGCCCGAAGGCAACTCAATGTCACTGTTTACTGTAGTAAAGGCATTGAATGTTTGTCTATATATGTTTACAGTGTAATCTGCTGAGTCCCCTTGGGGAGATGGATTTGAATATAAATAAAGTGTATTATTATTATACTAAAACAGTGGATGTGGCTCTTAATGAGACATGCCGCATTATCACAGGGTGTCTGCGCCCTACACCACTGGAGAAACTACACTGCTTAGCCGGTATTGCACCACCTGACATCCGCCGGGAAGTAGCAGCCAATAGTGAAAGGACCAAGGCAGAGACATCTCCAGCTCATCCCGTTTGGGTATCAGCCAGCACGTCAACGACTTAAATCAAGAAATAGTTTTCTAAGATCTGCAGAACACCTCAGCAAGCGAGAGTCCAAAAGTGGCAAGCTCAAACCCAGCACCTCAACCAATGGCTGATACTGAATGAGAGACTCCCCCCTGGGCACACAGAAAACTGGACGACTTGGAAGGCGCTGAACAGACTGCGTTCTGGCACCACGAGATGCAGAGCCAACCTTAAGAAATGGGGCCACAAAGTGGAATCCATCGACATGCGAGTGTGGAGAAGAGCAAACCACTGACCACCTGCTGCAATGCACCCTGAGCCCTGCCACATGCACAAGGGAGGACCTTCTTGCGGCAACACCAGAGGCACTCCAAGGGGCCAGATACTGGTCAAAGGACATTTAATCAACTACCAAGCTTGCAAACTCTGTGTTTTGTCTGTCTGTTTGTTTGTTTGTTTGTTTTTGTTAAAAATGTAATACAAATGTCTGGTTGCTGATGACACGATAAATAATAATAATAATAATAATTATTATTATTATTATTATTATTATTACACTTTCAAACCAGAAACAGAACATTTTTCAAACTTTGTTACATACGGTAATTAGCCAAATGCTTCTGAAGCTGTCCTGTCTCTGCAACAGGAATCCCTGAAGCTCTGCTCATCTGCTGCTTGGTTGGCCCTTCTTCCGCTTTGGCCTTGAGGGACTTCTTCTCAGGCTTTGCCACCAAACCTTTGACGCTGCCTGTTGTTCTCTTTGGCGGCGGAGTCTCAGAAATGGGTACCTTTGGTTCGTCTTTGGCTAAGACAGTGGCGGCTGCAGAAGATGCTGGCGATGGAGTTTGCTTTAGCCTCTCCTGACGCTGCTGCTCCATCTGGTATTTGAGTAAAGAGGAGGTCCTCCTCAGCCTCACCCCAAACGGGCTCTCCTGGCCGTGCGGTTCCTTGTTGGGCTGCTCGGTTATGGAATTGGTGCTGCTTTTACTCCTCTCAAGTCTTTCTGGGCTGTGGAATAAACACCCTGGCAAAGCGGAGTCCGGTTGAGGTGTTCCTTCGAACAGTTCTGGTTTGATGGGAGGAGAAGATGGAGAGCTTGTAAGGCAAGCGCTGTCCGTCGAGCTCGATCCTCCCGAGAGCGATCGCTGCCAAGCTGGAGCAATGGTGAACCTCACCGGCTTGGCAGAAACGCATTTCGCTTGCGACTCGACATCCTCATCAGGATTTTTACTTTCTTCTCCAGTTTTCACGTTTTCTGACGACTCACCAGAGTCATTATCAAGAGGGATGCTTTTGGAAGGTATCTCAGCAGCTTCCAGAGGAAAGGAAGGACAATTCAATGATCGCCGAATCATGTTTTCTTCTTGCCTTCCTGGGCTGTTTCTCAAGGGAGAGGTACATGGATCGGAGGAGGGAAAAGGGCTTTCACGTGCGGCTTTCTGGAGCTGAGGTTCTTCTATTTTGGCAACGAAGGCGGCCACCTCTTCTTGTTGCGTGTGGCTTCCAAACAGTTCCGTCTCCACATCTGCAGATTCTTCCTCTCCTTCTTTGACTGTTGGAACATCTTCAAAAGTTGAGATCTCCTCTGCCTCTGACAAAGTCTCTGAAACCGGTGAAGGAACAAACTCCGCAGAATCGGGCGCAGGGCTCCAAGAACCATTCCAAGTCCTATCTCCTGCTTTCTCACCATATTTCACATCACTAACAGTTCTAGAATCTACCGAGTCTTGGTCTACTGACTGTGGGCAAGAAGAATGAATATATTCAGTTGGTAGATCATGGTCCTTTCCTGGAACATCTCCAGGCATTGCTGAAAATGGCAAATCACCAGGTCCAGCAGCTTCTGCCTCTGGAGGTAAAGACTTGGCACATTCAGTGACCTCTTTTGCAAGATGATGTTTGAGACCATCCGTTCTTTTCGCCTCTTCCTCCTCCATATCCTCCTTTTCTTCACATTTTGGTAGCTCTTTGTTCCGGCCATCCATCTGCACAGCGACCTCCTTTTCCATCTCCAAACAGAGGTGCCAATCCCCATCTGTGCCGGGTCCAGCATTCCAGGAATAGCGCAAAGCGTCAGCCACCCTTGTCGCGGGCAATATGTTCTTAGTCCAACTTGGGATCTTTGCATTCTGGGCTGGTAGGCCTGTGCAAGAAAAGAGGGGGAGAATTTATGGCTTGCAAAGCTCACCAACTCCTATCAGTGTTCCCCACGCTCTCCTGGGCATGCACACAAAGGCTTCTACACACAGAGATACACCGTCAGTTTACCTTTCCGATCCTTTCCATGGCTCTCAGCACCTTCGGGTGATTCTGGTGGGCTCGATTTCCCTTCGGCACTTCCAAAAGAGCATTCCTCCTTCTCTAGCTGTTCCATCTAATGTCAGAGACAAGAGTCAGAACTGCTCAAGGAATCAGAGAATCAGAGAACAGCAGAACCAGAGAATAATAAGAATTGGATTTTCAACCAATGTCAGTGCAGACATGACAGAGTGAAGCAGGTGATGGACATGGCCATTCTCCTTTGCCACAGGACCGTATTTATTTATTTATTTATTTACAGTATTTCTATACCGCTTTTCTCACCCCTGGGGGGACTCAAAGCGTTTTACACATAACTGACAAAACTTCAGTGCCATACATTGGACACTGACACGATGCCAATCCATAACAACCACAATAATAAAACCACAATTAAACATAAATCATAATTAGACAGTACATAAGCAATCATTAAAACAATAAATAATAAAAGCAGTCAAGCCAGTCGTATTGTCATTCTAGTCCATGTCCTTTAAACTCTACAAACATCTACTGTCCGAAGGCCTGGTCCCAAAGCCATGATTTTAATTTCTTTCTGAAAGCCAGGAGGGAGGGAGCAGATCTTACCTCATTTGGGAGTGTGTTCCATAGGCGAGGGGCCACCGCCGAGAAGGCCCTGTCTCTCGTCCCCGCCAGACGCATTTGTGCAATTGATGGGAGCGAGAACAGCATCTCCCCGGATGATCTTAGATTACGAGATGGGATGTAGGGGTGGATGCGTTCGGACAAGTAGACGAAGTCTCACTTGGCCACGGTAGTCCACGCTCTGGTTACATCCCGTTTAGACTACTGCAACGCTCTCTACGTGGGGTTGCCTTTGAAGACGGCTCGGAAGCTCTAATTAGTCCAACGTTCGGCAGCCATGATACTAACAGGAGCGGAGCGCAGGGAGCATACAACTCCTCTGCTGCACCAGCTCCACTGGCTGCCGATCTGCTACCGGGCTCAATTCAAAGTGCTGGCGTTGGCCTTTAAAGCCCTAAACGGTTCTGGCCCAACTTACCTATCCGAACGTATCTCTGCCTATCAGCCCACCAGGACCCTAAGATCTTCTGGGGAGGCTCTGCTCTCTATCCCGCCTGCTTCACAGGTGCGGCTGGCGGGGACGAGAGACAGGGCCTTTTCTGTGGTGGCCCCTCGGCTGTGGAACGCCCTTCCCATGGAGGTAAGATCAGCCCCCTCGCTAATGGTGTTCCGAAGAAGATTAAAAACTTGGATGTTCGAACAGGCATTTGGTTAATCAGTGCAATGAATGTGACGATTACAGGAATGGAAATATGGACGACGAATTTGGATCATGACTCTAGTGATGAGAAGCATTGTGTTGTTATTGTTGTGTAATACTGTATACTGTGCTTTTTGTGGTTTAAATTGTATATTGTGACTGATTTTACCCTTGTTGTAAACCGCGTTGAGTCGCCGGTTAGGCTGAGAAACTGCGGTATACAAGTAAAGTAAATAAATAAATAAATAAATAAATAGAGCTTTATAGGTCAAAACCAGCACTTTGAATTGGGCTTGGAGATGGACTGGCAGCCAGTGGAACTGGCACATCTTCTTCCCATCCCTGGCAGAAGACCAGATCCAGTGTGTGTCCAGCACTGTGGGTGGGACCAGATACTTATTGGGACAGGCCCATGGTTGCCATGGCTGACATGAAGTCCTGAGCCTCTCCTGACAGAGTGGTCTCAGCATGGACATTGAAGTCCCACAGCACAATGAGCCAGTGGGACTCCAAGGCCAGGCCTGAGACCACTCCGGCTAGTTCAGGTAGGGAGACTGTAGTGCAGCGTGGTGGTCGGTACACCAACAGAATCCCTATCCTGTCCCGGTCACCAACCCTCAGGCCAACACACTCAAATGTGGTAGACTGTGGGATGGGGCACCTGGTCACGGGGATGGTATCCTTATAGACAATTGCGACACCCCCTCCCCGCCCTCCAGATCTTGACTGATGCTGAATGGAGTAACCTGGTGGACAAAGTTGGGAGATATTAACCCTCCCAGCCTAGTCCAACCAGGTCTCCGTTATACAAGCCAGGTCAGCATGTTCGTCAAGGATTCGATCCTGAATAATAGATGTTTTAAAAACTACGATTTTAATTTTTTTCTGAAGGCTAGAAGGGATGGAGTCAATCTTATTTCATTTGGGAGTGCATTCCATAGGTGGGGGCCACAGCCAAGAAGGCCCTGGCATTTGTACCCCGGCCAGGAGGGATGGAGTCAATCTTATTTCATTTGGGAGTGCATTCCATAGGTGGGGGGCCACAGCCAAGAAGGCCCTGCTTCTCGTCCCCGCCAAACGCATTTGCGATGTTGACGGAAGCAAGAGCAGGGCCTCCCTGGATGATCTTAGGTTGCGAGATGAGACGTAGAGGCAGATGCGTTCGGACAAATAAGCTGGGCCAGAACCGTATAGAGCTTTATAGGTCAAAACCAGCACTTTGAACTGGGCTCGGAGGTGGACCGGCAGCCAGTGGAGCCGACACAACAAGCGGGTGGTATGCTCCCTGTATGTCGCCCAGTTAGTAATCTGGCTGCCTCCCATTGGACCAGCTGGAGTTTCCGAGCCATCTTCAAAGGCAGCCCTGTGTAGAGTGTATTGCAGTAATCTATTCAGTATGTAACTAGAGCATGGACGACTGTAGCCAGATCAGACTTCCCAAGGTACGGACGCAGCTGGCACACAAGTTTTAGTTGTGCAAAAGCTCTCCTGGCCACCACCTGGTCAGTGAATGGGGTTCCAGGCGGTGGCCCTGGCCCTTGACCACTCCAGTTGGAGGTCAGCTGTGACCAGCAGTGCTGCAGAATTCGAGGAGGCACGAGTGGAGGGTGAAAGAGAGAAACGTGCCAGGAGGAAGGCGCGTCAAGCCAACCCCGACCGGGACCGCCTTCCACCTGGAAACCAATGCCTTCACTGTGGGAGAAGATGCGGGTCAAGAATAGGGCTCCACAGCCACCTACGAACCCACAAAAATAGTCATCTTACTCGTCCAACGAGGGATCAACTAAGTAAGTAAGTAAGTAGGCGGTGGCCAGGAGACCTGGGGTTCTTAAGTTGGATTTGTTTGTAAGTAGGAACAGGGAACAGTGCAACACACACACGCGTGCATGCATGCTTTGGGTAGTATAAGGAAGGGTAGACACCCTCTTGGAGCAAACCTTCCCCTAAAGCAGTGATGGGCAACCTTTTGAGCTTGTGTGTCAAAATTTGCCAAAAACCTGACCATAACTTGGGTGGGGTGTCAACTTCGAGAAAAAATAAACATAATTTTGCAATATTTATAGTTTAAATAAGAAAAATGCCTGAGTTATGGAGTGAACAATGCTCAAACATGCAGATGTTAAATTTGTAGAGCCTTTTACAAATTTAAGGATGGAATTAGATTGGCTCTTATAAGGTGTACTTCTCTGTATGCGGCCGCATGTGGCCGCATGTCATCAAAAATAGCCATGTGTGTCAGTGCTGACACACGTGTCATAGGTTCACCATCACGGCCCTAAAGGAAGCCCTATGGGAGACGATCCCAGTTGGAAAGAACCATCCCGCGGCAAGGAGGCACTTACAAAAAGACTTTGGGTTTTGTTGGCAAAGGCTTTCTGCCTCCGCGGATGCACGGCCATCTTGTGCCTGGCGGCCGAGGTATCCAGGCAGCCCAATGGAGTGGCCGGGCTGTTGAAATCGGCTGGAACAAAATGACCCATTGCCAAGGCCGGATGCCCAAGAACCACTGGGCTGAGAGGTCTGGAGGCGGATTCGGAGGCGACCTGCAAAGCAAAGACCAATCCATTAGGCGCTTGTTGCATCCTTCTAAGTATGGTGATCAATGTTAACCAAAATCAAAGCTAAACATTGGGCAAACAGGGCCCAATATTTAATATTTTATTATGTACTAGCTGTCCCCTGCCATGCATTGCTGTGACCCAGTCTGTGTATATGTGTTTTGTGTGTATGTATGTGTATATATGTAGTTTTGCGCATGAGTTTTAATATATTTTTATTTATTATTTTTTGCTTTTTAAGTCTCTTCCACTGCATTTTTCAGTGTTTTTATGAGTAATGGTTACTTGTTGGCCTGATAGGTGTATTGTGTCTAAATTTGGTGTCAATTCTTCCAGTGGTTTTTGAGTTTTGTTAATCCCACAAACGAACTTTTCATTTTTATTTATATAGACAAGCCATCCCCTGCCACACGTTGCTGTGGCCCAGTTTGTGATCTGGGAAATAAAGTAATTAGAAAGTGTTGGGTTTCTAATCTATGTCATGTCTTTCTGCTTGTGAGTAAACAGTATTTCTTGTTGTTTCTTTGTCAGTGTTGATGTGCAGATTGCCTGGTTTGCCTCCTCTGGAACATGGAACATATCATTGTCCTTCTTTAGGGATCCCTTTCAAATCTATGATACTATATCTGTCATATACATATATGTGTGTGTGAATCATATCTATCTATCTATATTTATGGCTGGATGGCCCTTTGTCAGGAGGGCTTTGATTATGTTTTCTTGCCCTGGTGAAGGGAGTTGGACTGGATGGCCTTAAGGATTTTCTGTTGGTCAGGGGAAAGTTTGGTCCAATTCTGTCGTTTGTGGGGTTCAGAATGCTCTTTGATTGTAGGTGAACTATAAATCCCAGTAACTACAACTCCCAAATGTCAAGGTCTATTTTACCCAAACTCCATCTGTGTTCATATTTGGGCATATTGAGTATTTGTGTCAAGTTTGGTCCAGATCCATCATGAGTCCACAGTGCTTCTGATGTAGGTGAACTACAACTCCCAAACTCAAGGTAAATGCCCACCAAACCCTTCTAGCGTTTTCTGTTGGTCATGGGAGTTCTGTGTGCCAAGTTTGGTTCAATTCCATCCTTGATGGAGTTCAGAATGCTCTTTGATTGTAGGTGAACTATAAATCCCAGCAACTACAACTCCCAAATGACAAAATAATAATTTTTTGAGTGATGGTCACTCCTTGTGTTGTGAGATGTCTTGTGGCCAAATTTGGAGGCAATTTGTCCAGTGGTTTTTGAGTTATGTTAATCCCACAAATGAACATTACTTTTTTATTTATATAGACTAGCCGTCCCCTGCCCACATTGCTGTGGCCCACATGGGGGTTCTGTGTGGGAGGTTTGGCCCATGTCCTTGGTGGGGTTCAGAATGCTCTTTGATTGTAGGTGAACTATAAATCCCAGTAACTACAACTCCCAAATGTCAAGGTCTATTTCCCCCAAACTCCATCTGTGTTCACATTTGGGCATACTGAGTATTCATGCCAAGTTTGGTCCAGATCCATCATTGTTTGAGTCCACAGTGCTCTCTGGATGTAGGTGAACTACAACTCCAAACTCAAGGTAAATGTCCACCAAACCCTTCCAGTTTTTTCTGTTGGTCATGGGAGCCCTGTGTGCCAAGTTTGGTTCAATTCCATCATTGGTGGAGTTCAGAATGCTCTTTGATTGTAGGTGAACTATAAATCCCAGCAACTACAACTCCCAAATGACAAAATCAATGTTTTGAGTGATGCTCACTCCTTGGGTTAGTAAGTGTCTTGTGGCCAAATTTGGTGCAATTCATCCAATGGTTTTTGAGTTATGTTAATCACAAAAAATGAACATTATATTTTTATTTATATAGATTTTTAAGGCTTCCATGATAGAACTGTACCTTGCAAACAAGATCTGGGAAAGCCATTTGAGAGCTTTCCCTAACCAGAATGGTTAAGTGAGCCTGTGAGTCGTTGCACAGGTTGATAGCAGTAGCAGGAAAAGCAGCAGCTATTTACCTGGTCATCTTCACTGTCTAAACTCAAATTGCTATGGCGCTGGAATGGGTTGGAAGACTGCGGGATGAAACAAGGGAAACAGGTAAGTCGAGGGAAACACGACAGATGGTTTTCCCAGGGTGGCATGTAATAGGATCATGATGAGAAACGACAACAAGGGTGGGCAGCTTGGGTCGACAAAGCAGCTCTCTCACACAAGCACAAGCACAGAAAGCCCTACGGACAAGTCATTTGTTTGCAACGATTGGCAACGCTATTGGATAGGTAGGTACCTCCAAAAGGACTGCCATCCCTTCTGCAAGATACCTTGGGTGCATCTACACTGTAGAATTGATGCAGTTTGATGCCCCTTTAAATGCTGGAAGTCAAAGTTTGGTGTGACACCGATTGTCTTTGGCAGTGAAGGCAAAAGACTTTGTCAAATTACGAGGGTTGAATGAAAAGTAATGCCTCCACCTTCGTAACTCCTCAACAGATGGCAGTACAGGTATGCGGCAGGTACTGGCTTGTTCAGTAGACTCTCCTCTACAGTTCCATGTTGTTAAAGTGTGAAGTATGGAACCCTGCACAGACGGTCGATCAATTTGACTTAAGCAACATGCAATCATTGAATTCTTGACAGCAGAAGGTGTCACCCCAAAAGTAGTGAAAAAGTAATGCCTCCACCTTTGTAACTCCTCAACAGATGGCAGTACTGGTATGCGGCAGGTACTGGCTTGTTCAGTAGACTCTCCTCTACAGTTCCATTTTGGGAGGAAGCCTTAGCATTGAACAGTTGTGTTGTTAAAGTGCGAAGTATCGAACCCTGCACAGACAGTCGGTCAATGCGACTTAAGCAACGTGCAGTCATTGAATTCTTGACAGCAGAAGGTGTCACCTCAACATCTTAAACTTACTCGCCCAACGACGCACAGTACTCACATCAACACAATCACCATAAACAGTTTGCATTCTCTGATGAATCTCCTTTGGGGTGACACCTTCTGCTGTCAAGAATTCAATGACTGCACGTTGCTTAAGTCGCATTGACCGACCGTCTGCATAGGGTTCCATACTTTGGACTTTAACAACACAACTGTTCAATGCTAAGGCTTCCTGCCAAAATGGAACTGTAGAGGAGAGTCTATTGAACAAGCCAGTACTTGCCGCATACCAGTACTGCCATCTGTTGAGGAGTTACAAAGGTCTAGGCATTACTTTTCATTCAACCTTCATACAACTCCTGTGATTGCAAAGCCTTAAGCCATAGCATTGAAAGCACTGCCAAGCTGCATTAATTCTATAGTATACAGTGTTCCCTCACTACTTCGCGATTCGCTTTACGCGGACTTGCTGTTTCGGGTGTTTTTGCCTCCCAGTTTAAGGAGGCAAAAACCCGCGAAACAGCAAGTCCACGAAAAGCGAACCACGAAGTAGTGAGGGAACACTGTAGTCTTAAGTTACAGATTATTCTGTTTCCCCTCTTCTCTGGAACAGAACAAACTCTTTTTGCTTATGTTGTCCCACAGAAATTGTCACTGTGGCTATACCACCTCTCAGCACAAACACGGCCACCATTAATGACCACAGATGGAGTTGTTTACTTCTTTATGCTTTACATTTTGGAAAGGGTCTGCACACCTCACTGGTGGGACAGGCCAGGACATCGTGGAGGGTGGAGATCTCTGGAGGGCTTTTGGGCAAGCCGTCGTCTTCAGACATGGCACCGACGTCTTCCGCCTTTTTGCCAGGGATGACGAGCGGAGGCGAGCCGAGCCGAAGATTCGGCTGTAACCGAAGCTAGTTGGAAGAGACAGGAAAACATACAATAAAGGCCTGGATTCTTATGTCGAAGGAGCATTTTCCTTTTGAGCCAGATGCTCTCCCACTTGGATTCGCTTTCCATGCGCCATGAAAAAGTGTTTCTCCAGTTGGCATCTTGGACGAGGACTTGGGTCTCCATCACCCAATGAAATAAATGGTCATATCTCCAAAATGGGTTTATTGGCTCCCTGACCACAAACAGATTGCATTAATACACATATAGAATTCATGGTTTCTATGGCTTGCTGCTAAGAGAAACGGTTTTAACTGCCACTTTCACCTTGGAGAGTGAAGAGAGTGCTGACTGGAAACAGCTAGGAAGGAAATAGCTGCCAACTCTCTGAAGCCTGATCATTTCTGAGGCATGAAGCACATTTTAAAGACTGTTTAAAAGGACTGTTAGTTCTCTCTGTTCTCTGTAAGAATTCAGAGAGACTGTTATATATATTGTTGCTCTGTTTGACTTTTAAACTGAAGTAAAGTTACTGTTACTCGTTACACAAATCTGAGTGACACATTATTATACTGCAGGGTATAATAGTGAAGCTTCTATTTCTTTATATCTATAGCCTCCAACACCTTCTCCCTAAATGGATTATCTGACTACTTATGTAGAACTCATGATTATATCTCCAAAATGGGTTTGTTGGCTCCGTCATCCCAGATTGTGTTACTAAATATGTAGAATCCATGATTATATCCCCAAAATGAATTGATGCCTTCTCACCAAGCAGGTTGTGCTAATACAAATGTAGAAATCCATGATTATATCCCCAAAATGGGTTCATTGGCTCCTTCATCCCAGATTGTGTTACAACACATGTAGAACCCATGATTTTTAAATAATGATTTTTAAATAATAATATTTTTAAACAAGTAATGCATGGAAGTGGAATAAGACAACAGAATAGGAAGAACAAGAGACCCCTTCCCGAAAATTAGAAACATTGGAGAACGGCATAATACACTAACTACAAACGCGTCGCATCCACTTCAAGAGAACCGAACACGCCACAAAGACTACCATATGTAGGGGGCAAAAACCAAACACAGCAAACTGACAACCCCTCCCAGTAAGCATAACAGTCATGGGCATACCAAGCCACCTTGTCTCTCTCCTGAGGAATCTGTACAAGGACCAAGTAGCAACAGTAAGAACTGACCACGGAACAACAGACTGGTTCAAGATTGGGAAAGGCGTACGGCAAGGCTGCATACTCTCACCCAACCTTTTTAACTTGTATGCAGAACACATCATGCAATGTGCGGGGCTTGATGAATGCAAAGCTGGGGTGAAAATTGCTGGAAGAAACATTAACAACCTCAGATATGCAGATGACACCACTCTGATGGCCGAAAGCAGATGAGGTGAGGAGCCTTCTAATCAAGGTGAAAGAAGAAAGCGCAAAAGCCGGGTTGCAGCTAAACGTCAAAAAAACCAAGATTATGGCAACAAGAATGATTGACAACTGGAAAATAGAGGGAGAAACCGTGGAGGCCGTGACAGACTTTGTATTTATAGGTGCAAAGATTACTGCAGATGCAGACTGTAGCCAGGAAATCAGAAGACGCTTACTTCTTGGGAGGAGAGCAATGTCCAATCTCGATAAAATAGTGAAGAGTAGAGACATCAGAATGGCAACAAAGATCCGCCTAGTCAAAGCCATGGTATTCCCTGTAGTAACCTACGGATGTGAGAGCTGGACCTTAGGGAAGGCTGAGCGAAAGGAAGATCGATGCTTTTGAGCTGTGGTGTTGGAGGAAAGTTCTGAGAGTGCCTTGGACTGAGAGAAGATCCAACCAGTCCATCCTCCAGGAAATAAAGCCCGACTGCTCACTGGAGGGAAAGATACTAGAGACAAAGTTGAAGTACTTTGGCCACATCATGAGGAGACAGGAAAGCCTAGAGAAGACAATTATGCTGGGGAAAGTGGAAGGCAAAAGGAAAAGGGGCCGACCAAGGGCAAGATGGATGGATGGCATCCTTGAAGTGACTGGACTGACCTTGAGGAAGCTGGGGGTGGTAACGGCCGACAGGGAGCTCTGGCGTAGGCTGGTCCATGAGGTCACGAAGAGTCGGAGACGACTGAACGAATGAACAACAACAGAACCCATGATTATATCCTAAGAATCTCACCTTTTCTTCAACTTCCCTCTCTTCGTTTCTTTTTCTGCATTTGCAATAAGGAAGTCCAAGAATCCAAAGGATATTCATGCACAACGCTTTGGAAACGAGAAGCTATCGGCCACAGCAGAAGGCATCTTACCTGCAAGGCGTTCACCTTCCCTGGAAGGTTGTCCTGCGAGGCTGTTTTGTCGGCTACGTCGGGTAACGATTCACAAATGAAGACGCTGTCGTGCGATAAGGCTTTGCTTCCCATGCTCCCTTTGGATCTGAAAGGTAAGGAAGGGGAGAAAATCTGTTCAGATGTTTCTCAAATGCCATATCGCGTAACTATCACAATGGTGACTTATAACTTCATGCAGAATTCAACAACCGGCCATTGAGTTTGTTTACTTTTCCTCTTTTTCCTTCATCTTTTTTTTTCCTTTTTGGACATAATTTTGGGGTTACAAATCTGGGGATTTTGATTTGACATTATTGCAAGATGGGTTAGTCAAATCTTTTTTTTACTGGGGAAGAAGATCAAGGCTAAGAAATAGTAAAGAAAAAGGTTTCCCCTTGACATTAAGCCAACTCTGGGACTCTGGTGGTCATCTCCATTTCGAAGGCGAAGTGTTGGCGTTGTCCATAGACGTCTCCAAGGTCATGTGGCCACTGGCAGGACTGCATAAAGTGCCGTTACCTTCCCGCCGGAGCGGTACCTATTGATCTACTCACATCTGCATGTTTTCGAACTGCTAGGCTGGCAGAAGCTGGGGCTGACAGCGGGAGCTCACGCCGCTCCCCGTATTCGAACCTACAAACTTTCAATCAACAAGTTCAGCAGCTCAGCAGTTTAACCCACTGCGCCACCATAAAAAATAAAAGCGCTGGCCAGCAAATTGTATCCAAATTATATGCTAATTATATGCTAATCAAGGTGGTCAATTGAAACATTCACACCTAGCTCCAGCAGACAAGAGTCCTTTGTCTCACCCTGGTCATTCCACAGATATATAAACCCTTTTTCCTCGTTCCAACAGACCTCACTCCCTCTGAGGATGCTTGCCATAGATGCAGGCGAAACGTCAGGAGAGAATGCCTCTAGAACATGGCCATACAGCCCGAAAAAACCTACAACAACCCAAGAGCCAAATTGTTCAATCGCACTATGTAACAAAATTTGAGAAATATCTGTTCTTGGTTTGAAAGTGTTATTTCCTGTTTAATTGTGCAGTCCTTAGTTTGAAAGTAGTTGTTCTGCTCCAGAAACTTTGTTTTTGTGGCTGCCAAAAACTAGGTTGAATAGATTCAAGATTTGGTTGAGGCTCGGAGATGAGACATCCATGCAAAACTCTAGCAAAATGTGCTAGAGCAGGATGTCCCTCCCACATAAAGAAAGTCTTTACAGTTTCGTCAACCTTTTCCATGTTTTCATGACAGAACCAATTAGGAAATGACATTGATAACCCAGGAACACCAATCGTGACACATAGTGTTATAGTTGATTCTGCAGCGTGGATGAGAGGTACGTCATGGTAGTCTAATTGTTCCTGTTAATAGTTGCATTCACTCAAATGTAATGCTCTCAATAACCTTCCCAAAATTAGGGCACGCATTAGAGTCAGGTAAAACAGTCATCTTAGTGCTTTTTTTTCCATGCCAGGAGTGACTTGAGAAACTGCAAGTCGCTTCTGGTGTGAGAGAATTAGCCGTCAGCAAGGACGTTGCCCAGGGAACACTGCCTGGGTGTTTTGATGTTTTCCCATCCTTGTGGGAGGCTTCTCTCATGTCCCTGCATGGGGAGCTGGAGCTGACAGAGGGAGCTCAACCTGCTCTTCCCGGATTCAAACCACTGACCTCTTGGTCAGCAATCCTGTCGGCACAAAGGTTTAACCGGGTGAGTCAAAGCAAAAGGGGAAGCTGCATCAGGAGCAATACATTCACCAGCAAATACGTTCTTTGGTTTCAGGGTCTGGAAAATTGAGGTGCGCAGATTCAACGGCACATGAGACTCGAGTCAATATGGTAGTTTTGTCTGGGCAAGTCTCAAATCTGCATTTCAATCTGATACGAAGAAGTCTCAAATCCGATTTCTAAAGGCTCCTGTGTGTTGAAACCGTCCAGGTGAGATTGTTGCCGAATGAGCTGCTATTTGAGGCAAGCTAGGAAGGAAAGAGAGGAAATTCCTGGCATTCCACCCGGTTGTTGCTCTGAGACCTGTTTGTGCGCCAGGAGTGTTGCCTTCAACAAGAAGTTGGCTCCGTTGGCAAACTGAGTAAGCCGGGTTCGGAGTCCGTGGCCACCAGGTCGGAGCTGGAGCTATGATACTTCACCTTGTTGATGGGAAGCTTCCCACCGGAGTGGAAATCATCTATCGGAGAGATGGCAAGCTATTTAAACTCAGAAGACTGAAAGCCAAAACCAAGGTTACAACAACATCTGTTATAGAACTCCAGTATGCTGATGACAACGTCATCTGTGCCCATTCAGAAGAAGACCTACAAACCACTCTAAACACCTTCGCAGAAGCATACGAGAAGCTCGACCTCTCATTGAACATCGAGGAAACCAAAGTGCTCTTCCAGCAGTCACCAGCCAATCCCTCTCCAATGCCAGAAATACAACTTAATGGCGTAACATTAGAAAATATTGACCATTTCCACTCCCTTGGCAGCCACCTCTCCACAAAAGTCTACATTGACACTGAAATTCAACAGCACCTTCCATTTGGAAACCAATGCCCTCACTGTGGGAGAACATGCAGGTCAAGAATAGGGCTCCACGGTCACCTACGGATCCACCGCCAGGACACTACACTTGGAGGACCATCATCCTTGGACAACGAGGGACCGCCTAGGTAAGTAAGTAAGAACAAGAAGGCTTTGCCTTACGTTGGCTCCATCGGTAAACCAAGTAAGCCGGATTCGGAGTCAGTGGCAGCCAGGTCAGAGCTGGATTGGCTGGGTTTCAGCTTGGTCCCTCCCAAAGAAGTCGGTGCCGCTCTGGCCTTCTTCTTCTTGGCAAAGAAGTTCTTGAAACTCTGGAACCTGGACTTTTTCTTCCCTGTTCAAAAGGAGAAAAGAGCATCGTGCAGATATTGATGGCAGCAAGAGCAATTGGGGGTTAGGACTACCATAAAGAAACCATGACACTTTATAACACGACTCTTGTTCCTGGGTTATAAATACTATTTCCTAACCGGTCCTATCATTAAAAACATGGAAAAGGTTTATTAAACTGCAAAAAGTTTGTTTCTGTGGTCTGCAAAAAAGGTTAAAAATGGCACATGAAAGATTAAAAATGACAAGTAGAGTTTGTAATTTGGAGAAACATCACAAGACGAGCAGACCCAAGCTCAACATCTCCCTGATTCTTTGGATAAACAGCTGGAGAACCGGTTTGAAAACCAAGCATTGTTCTCGATGGGGGATTGTCTCCTCCATGAATGCCCTGCCCTGGCCAATTGTTTGTTTTCCTTTTGTGGATGACAATGGGGCGAGACAATGCGCTCCTCAGCTGCAGACCGAGCCAGACAGAGGCGGCTTTGAGGCCCAAGCCATGAGCTCAGGGCTGCTACCTGTCCCTTCTCCGCCTTGCTCTGTGGCTAAAGTCACATCTCTGGACACCAAGGGCCCCTTCGTGCCAGGGAAGGCCAGGAAGACAAGCAAAGACATGTCTCAGCTCTCCGAATGTACGCACTTTGGGGTTACGCAAAAACTCCCACAGCTTTGTGAATGCATGAATACAAACATTTGCAGATAGATTACTTTTGTTGTTGTTGCAAAGCCATGCAACTAGATCGGGCATGGGCAAACTTGGGGCCCCTCCAGGTGTTTTGGAGCTCAAGTTCCACAATTCTTAGCAGCTTCAGGCCCTTTCCTTTCCCCCCACAGCCCCATAAGCCTGGAGGGCCCAAGTTTGCCCACGCCTAAATTAGATGGACCTGAAACTTTGGCACTGAGATGGGAGCTGGATCTACCCCACCATATAATGCAGCTGGAAGTGCATTGTATGCATCTACACTTACTATATAAATACAATTGCAACTGCATTGCATGGCAATGGGGATCCAGTCTATATGGTGAGGAAGGGGATGGATGGATGGATGGATGGTAGGAAGGAAGGGAAGGGCGAAAGGGAGGAAGGGAAAGATGGAAGGAGAAAGAGGAAAGGAGGTAGGAATGAGTGAAGGAAGGAAAGGAAAAGGAAGGAGAAAGAGGAAGAGGGGGAAGGAAAGAGAAGAGGGAAGAAGGAAGAAAGAGGAAGGAGGAAGGAAAGAAAAGGAAAGGATGAAAGGGTGGAAGGGAATGGAGGGAAGGAGAAGAGAGGGGAGGGAGGAAAGAAAGAAAGAAAAAGAAAGAAAGAAAGAAAGAAAGAAAGGAAAAGAGAAGGAAAAGAAAGAAAAGGAAGAAAGAAAGACAAAGGAAGGAAGGAAGGAAGGAAGGAAGGAAGAGAAGGAAGGAAGGAAGGAAGGAAGGAAGGAAGGAAGGAAGGAAGGAAGGAAGAAGAAGGAAGGAGGGAAAGAGGGAGGGAGAGAGGAAGAGAAGGAAGGAAGGAAGGAAGGAAGGAAGGAAGGAAGGAAGGAAGGAAGAAGGAAGGAAGGGAAAGGGGAGAGAGGGAAGGAAGAGAGGGAGGAGGAGGGAGGGAGGGAGGGAGGGAGGGAGGAGGAAGGAAGGAAGGAAGGAGAAGAGAGGGAGAGAGAGAAGGAAGGGAAGATAGAGGGAAGGAAGGAAGGAGGAAGGAAGGAAGGAGGAAGAAGGAAGGAAAAAGAGGAGAGAGGGAAGGAAGGAAGGAAGAGAGAAAGAAGGGAAGGAGGGAAGGAAGGAAGGAAGCGTAAAAGGGTGGAAGGGAAGGAAGGAGGAGGGAGAAAGAGGGACGGGAGGAAAGAGAGAAGGAAGGAAGGAAGGAAGGAAGGAAGGAAGGAAGGAAGGAAGGAAGGAAGGAAGGAAGGAAGGAAGGAAGGAAGGTGGATGATAAGAAGAAAGAGGAAGGGAAGGAGGAAAGAAAAAAAGAAGGAAGGATAGGGTGGTAAGAGAGAGAAGGGCGTGAGAAAAAAGCTCAAGGGAGAAAGGGAAGGATGGAAGGAGAAAGAGGGAGAGAGGAAAGGATGGAGGAAAAGGGATGGAAGGAAGGAGAAAGAGGGAGAGTGGGAGAAAAGTGTGATTAAAAACATGGGAAAAGTGTATTAAACTGAAAAAGTTGTTTCTTGTAGACATCATGTGATAGCACATTTTGCAATAGTTTTTCAATGAATATGTCATAGAGTCTCAAGCCATTCAATCTACTTTGCGGGAGCCACAAAAACAAAGTTTCTGGAGTACGACAAATATTTTCAAAGGGAGAATTGCACAATTAAACAGGAAATAACACTTTCAAACCAGGAACAGGACATTTGGAGGGCAACCGGATTCATCCCTAAGGGTTCTAGGTGCCAATGCCGAAGACTGGAACATCTGAAAAACAGTCATAACAACAACAACAACAATAAGAATTTTCCTTACTTGAAAACTCCTCTCCCACGTCTTCCACATCCAGCGGCTCTGTGAGATCCACTGGTTTGGCTGCCATAATGCAATCACTGGAAGTTCAATGTAAAGAAGAAGGAAATGCTATTAATTTAGGCGTAACGCTATGTAGTGCAGATGAGGAAGAGAGAGGATTTCACGCCCAACCAAGGAGCCAGGCTCCTTCCCAGATGTGCTTCCAACACAACCGCGGAGCCACAGGGCACACAACAAGTGGGGATTTCATGCCTGCCTCTGTTTGCGTAGAAGCCAAGCAGCCTTTTCCTCGCTTCTCAATAACACACCGTTGTTGAGCCAAAACCAACAAACAGCCTTGCTTTCTCAAGAGGGCGCATCCCGCTTCTCAGGAAGCCGGGGTCAATGTGCGCAAAAGAGGGGAAATGCCGATGAAATGCTTCGCACTGTGAAAAAATTGCAAGGACCCTATGGAGCAAACGGCAAGACGATGCCTCTTGAATCCAGCCTTAACAGGGGAGAATGGCTTTTGCAGTTCACTTATTCTATGGGTTTGTTTGTTTGTTTCCTATACACAAAAACATAAGTTTGGAAGAACCACTGCTATTTTCTCGATTAATATTCTTTTAGCTGCCTGATATAAATCACATAGAATCCATAGAATCCTGCTCACAGGGACTGTGGCACAGCTGGCTAGGAGTCAGCTGCATTAAGATCACTACTGACCGAAAGGTCATGAGTTCGAAGCCAGCCCGGGTCGGAGTGAGCTCCTGACCAATTTGTCTAGCTTGCTGTCAACCTTTGCAGCCCGAAAGACAGTTGCATCTGTCAAGTAGGAAATTTACGTACCACTTATGCGGGGAGGCTAATTTAACTAATTTACGACATCATAAAAAATCTCCTCCAAGAGTGCAGAGAATGAGGAAGTACTCCATCAGTGTCACAAATGGTGAAGCGACAGCTCCCCGTGGCCAGAATACGCTCATGAAAGCTGGAATCGTAAATAGCCTCTGTGTGTCTGTCTATATATGTTGTGTATCTATGGCATTGAATGTTTGCCATGTATATGTGCACTGTAATCCGCCCCGAGTCCCCTGTGGGGGTGAGAAGGGCGGAATATAAATACTGTAAATAGATCATCATCATCATTTAATTACTTATTAATCGCCCTCCATCCGAGAATGCTCCAGGCGATTTACAGCTAAATTACAAAAGATAAAATACATACATACAAAAATTAAAAATCAACAGAGATCGAATGCTCTAGTAAAAAGCCAGGTCTTAAGTGCGAGAGTAAAAGGCCCTAAGTCACGCATGGCTCTCATGTAGGGCGGCAAGGAATTCCATAAGGCAGGGGCAGAAAGAGAGAAAGCCCACCTGCGCCTGGTCCTTTCCAAGGGCACTTCTCTAGGACCCGGTATATGGAGTAAGTCACGTTGGGCTGGTCGTTGCGACCTCCGATGATGGGAGAAGGAGAGGCGGTCCCTAAGGTACGATGGACCCTGGCCGTAAAGAGTTTTAAAGGTCAGAACTAGCATCTTATACAGGCCACGGTACTCAGTTGGAAGCCAATGTAAATGTTGCAGCACTGGTGTTATATGGCATTTCATGGGCGTTCTTGTGAGTAACCTGGCTGCCGCATTCTGAACAATACGAGCTTTCGGGTCGTAGACATCGGAAGGCCCACATACAGGGTGTTGCAATAGTCCAGCCTAGACGTGACCGTGGCATGGATGACACGTTGCCAGAGCCTCGTCAGATAGGGAGGGTCCAGTTGCCTCGCTTGTCGTAGATGGAAAAAGGCCTGTTTGCTGGCACAGCCACCTGAGCTTCCATTGTCAGCTGCGAATCCAGGATGACACCTAAGCTCTTAACAGTGGTCGATGGAGATAGGGCGGCACCATCGAAGGTGGGTAATGGAGGAGTCAGACCTGCCGGGCAGCCATGCCAGAGAATCTCAGTCTTCGCCGGGTTCACCTTCAGTCTGCTAGCACGTAGCCAGTTCGACAGAGCTTCCAGACATAGGGTGAAATTGTCTGGAATTGACGTTGCTCCAGGCTCCAGGCGCAGAAGGAGTTGGGTATCGTCTGCATATTGGTAGCAGTCCAGGCCAAAACTCTGAGCCAAACTAGCAAGGGGTCTAATGTAGAGGTTGAAGAGAAGAGGGGAGAGAATTGCACCTTGGGGGACCCCAAGATAAATAAAATAAATCCTGGATTTCTTAAGACATTCCATTCCAGTCCTCCAAGTCTGGATTATGTTGGAGTTTTAAAATATACTAACCTATTCTGAAGATAGAATATACCTGGTGGTGCAGCGAGTTAAACCACTGAGCTGCTGAACTTTCTGACCAAATCTACAGGGCGCAGGTTCAAATCAGGGGAGTGGGGTGAGCTCTGGCTGTTAGCCCAGCTTCTGCCAACCTAGCAGTTCAAAAACATGCAAATGTGAGTAGATCAAAAGGTACTGCTCTGCAGAAAGGTAACGGCACTGCATGCAGCCATACTGGCCACATGACCTTGGAGGTGTCTATGGACAAGGCCAGCTCTTTGTCTTAGAAATGGAGATGAGCACCCACCCCCAGAGTCGGACGTGACTAGACTTAATGTCAAAGGAAACCTTTATCTATTCTGAAGATAAAATAATTAGTTACTTTAAGTGCTGAGTCACGGATACAGTGATTAATCATGAGGATAAGAAAACCCCGAAGTTAGGTTTACATCAGATGTATAAGATAATGAAAGCATGAATGGAACATTGCACTATGCAAGTGTATATATAAGAACACAGTAAGTTGGCTTCGGGTGATATGGTGATGTATGGTGAATTGGAGGATTCTGGAGAGAGGGGATTTCCTTATGGGTGCCTTAATACCTCCCCACTTTTTGAAGTGGTACCTATTTATCTACTTACTGTTTGAACTGCTAGGTAGACAGAAGCTGGGCTAAAGGCCAGGAGCTCAGCCTGACCCAGGCTTCGAACTGTCAACCTTTCAATTGGCATGATCTATTGTTGTTGGAGATTAGCCTGCTGTGCTGAAACCTGGTCACCTATTTATCTACTGAGAAGTACCTATTTATCTACTCACATTGCTGTTTTCAAAACTGCTAGGTAGCCAGAAGCTGGGCTAAAGGCCAGGAGCTCACCCTGACCCGGGCTTCGAACTGTCAACCTTTCAATGGGTGTGATCTATTGTTGCTGGGGATTAACCAGCTGTGCTGAAACCCAGTCACCTATTTATCTACTGAGAAGTACCTATTTATCTACTCACATTGCTGTTTTCAAAACTGCTAGGTAGGCAGAAGCTGGGCTAAAGGCCAGGAGCTCACCCTGACCCGGGCTTTGAACTGTCAACCTTTCAATTGGTGTGATCTATTGTTGCTGGAGATTAACCAGCTGTGCTGAAACCCGGTCACCTATTTATCTACTGCGAAGTACCTATTTATCTACTCACATTGCTGTTTTCAAAACTGCTAGGTAGGCAGAAGCTGGGCTAAAGGCCAGGAGCTCACCCTGACCCAGGCTTTGAACTGTCAACCTTTCAATTGGTGTGATCTATTGTTGCTGGAGATTAACCAGCTGTGCTGAAACCCGGTCACCTATTTATCTACTGCGAAGTACCTATTTATCTACTCACATTGCTGTTTTCAAAACTGCTAGGTAGGCAGAAGCTGGGCTAAAGGCCAGGAGCTCACCCTGACCCGGGCTTCGAACTGTCGACCTTTCAACTGATAAGATTTATTGCAGCTGGTAGTTTAACCAGCTGTGCTAAAGCCCGGCCCATCATTGAGACAGTTCATCTTTGCAATGCAATGTGTAAGAGAGAGAGATTTGAGTCCCTCCCTATAAACAAACCCACAAGGTTGCAAGAACCACTGCTATTTTCTATTTAAAACTATGCCCATTTCTCAAAACCAAGGGGAGACTTCTGGTGATTTTCTTGGGGGGCGAGCAGGGGAATATTCTTTTAGCAGCCTGATACAAACCACATAGAATCCTGGATTTCTTAAGACTGTTTGGGTCTATTCCAGTCCTCCAACTCTGGATTATATAGTCAAGTTTTGCATTTTAAACTCTCAAAGACTTTCTGGATGCGAAGGAGATCCGCAAAATTACACAGTAGAAGACACAGCTCATATTGCAGCTTGCACAATGCCATAGCAATCTAGGGTTTTTTGTGGTTTGGCATGTCTAGCCAGTAGGACTGTTGGGAAGGGAAAGAAGCGTGGAAAGATATAACTCTGTTGCAGGGTAAGAAGAGTTTCTGTGGCATTTGCACAACCAAATAAGAGGCATATTGGATCGGAACAAAGACCCCTCTTGTACAAAATGCTGCTCACACAACCATTAGTTATCCAGGAGAAACTGTCTGGCAGGCACATCGACTATATTAATACGTATAACTCAAAAACCACTGGGTGAATTCACACCAAATTTGGACACAAGACACTTACCAAGCCAATGAGTGACCATCACCCCTAAAAACACAAAAAACCCCAGCAGGACGGACTTTAAACCCTCCAAAATAAACCATATATATATATACACATACATTCGTATACATATGCAAACATACACACAGACACAAACATATATATATGTAAACACACACAAATATACACATATACACACCCACATATACACATACATACACACACGTATGCACAATATACATATACACATATACACACAGAAATATACATAGACACATGCACACATATATAAACACATACATATGTACGCAAGCACATACAGTATACACACACATATATATACACCTATATACATATACGGGGGGGCCCGGTTGCGCAGTGGGTTAAAGCACTGAGCTGCTGAGCTTGTTGATCGAAAGGTCGCAGGTTCGATTTCCGGGGAGCGGCGTGAGCTTCCGCTGTCAGCCCTAGCTTCTGCCAACCTAGCAATTCGAAAACATGCAAATGTGAGTAGATCAATAGGTACCGCTCCGGCAGGAAGCTAACTGCGCTCCATGCAGTCATGCCGGCTATGGACAACGCTGGCTCTTCGGCTTAGAAATGGAGATGAGCACCACACCCCAGAGTCAGACATGACTGGACTTAATGTCAGGGGACTACCTTTACCTTACCTATATACATATACACATACATACACACATATATACACACATATATGCATATACACATACACAATATACATACATATACACATAAACACAGAAATATGCGAATATATACACACATATATACACACACAAACACACATATATACACAAATATATACACAGACATAAACACATATATACACACACAAAACACATATACACAGACTGGGCCACAGCAACGCATGGCAGCCTCTGGGCGTTTTAGGATGGATCTACTCTGCAATATATATACAACGTTCCCTCACTTATGGCGCATACCCTTTCCAAATATGGCAGCATCCAGACATTTTACATAGTCTAATTCATTCTGCTTGTTGAAACGAGCATACTGTCC